TTAGGGATTGGGATGTCACATAGGGTTTTAGTTTTGCAATAACATTTACACTTTTGCTAATTTTATTACTAATTTTGTTACTTGAACATTTTTTGCAGTAAAACAAACATACCGTCCCGTAGTAAGGTATTCTTGTATACCGGCATGCTTTCCAGGTAATTATGGGATATGGCGTGTGATAGATATCTCAGGGCGCCCTTCTCTGGCTGAGCAAACTCCAGAATAAAATTGGCCGCTACCTTCATGTCTTCTTCGCTGTAAATTAAGGCACGTTTCTTTTAGGAACTCTTTAAATGCTAACGGCAATAAGTTCGTGTTAATATTTTCTGTTTGGGTTATCACGTTGGCGCAGCAAACCTCATAATGCACAGATTTTTAAGACGTACCTTAAGCTTGTAACCTTCACACTTCTGAAATTTCGATCTTGAGTGTAAACGTCCCTTATCTTAAGATAAAAGATAAAATTGAATTACACAATAATCGCAATAAGCAATTCTATGATTTTGAGGGTAACAGTACATCGGACAACAAGCACAGGGGTTAACTTGTCAAAGTTCATCTGGGAGATGAAAACAGTCGTAATTTTGAAGTTTTAGAATTGAAGAAAACTTGGAAATGGTTTTCTGTTGCTATGGCTTACCCCTTTCTCTACTTCAGCAGCAAAGATCTTGTATTTTGTTGTAGTGGGACGTTTGTAGTCACTGTGCCAGTTCTGTTTGAATCGCAATGATGCTTTAATCTCGTTACGTTCATCTGTGAAAATAAAAACACATATAGATACACTTAGTTTACTTGTATATTAAAACGTTGAGTAAAAATATCATCCCGCATGTAAGTTATTGCAATTAAGACCAGAAAATAAAGCAACGGTGAAACAGATATTTTAATTATCAGAATGATTTGGGGCATGAAATACTCATTGCATAACAAACATCAACGCTGTAGACAGATAAACAAGACCTCAAATATTAACGGTCATAAAACATTCAACTATGATCCAGTTTTTTGACGCAGGGTTGAGCTAACCAAGATTAAAATCCACGTCCAGTTTATTTCCATATGATTCTCTCAAAAATCATTTCCCTAACTTTACTGTCCATCAATGTCGACCAGGACGTGCTTCACCGAAAATTATTTTCGTGTACTTTAAAATGCCTGCATGGCTTTCCATACGACATACCCCTGACACACTAAAAATATTTCTTATAGTTACTAATGTGTGATATTAAGCAATTATTCAAGTTAACTAATCTATATCAAATCCTACCCGTGGGCCAATCAAGGAAGACCCGGCATCTTGGCTGGCTGTAATCGTCACAGCCTTTAGGCATTGGTTTGAAATACTGAGCCGGCGGTGGAGCCTGGGGCTGTGGAGGTGGTGGTGCGGCCACCCCTGAGATGGAAATATCATATGGGACCTGTGGGGCCTGGGGCATAGCATAAGGCTGGGGCATAGCCATTGGTATTTGACCAGGAATCATAGGAGCAAGTGGTATCTGAGGTTCAGGTTGTGATGTGATTCTGATTGGGTCCATCACAACAGTAGCGCTTGGGGTCTGTTACAAAAGAAAAATAGTCCAAAATAAGTCTTAAAGCGATTATTTTGAGCGACTTGAAGACCGATTTTGTCTCGAAACAAGACAGAAGTAAAATTGCACATTGTAGGACATCTTGAAATGAAGTAGTCTTGGGTATTTCCGCAGCGATTAGTAAGGTGAAGTTTTTCTTTGCGCAACGGTTAAGACAGATGGTTAAAGAAAGCAACTATTTCCTGCATTTTCCTAACGACAGCGCAGAAGACTGCCCAACAAGTCGAAAGTCGAATATAATGTGATAAAAAAAAGTAACACTGAACCTGAAAAGTGTATGGAGATGGAGCCTGGGCAGGCTTGGGCGGAGCAGGGGCCGGTTTGTCTTGCTTTTCCGGTTTGTCTTTAGCAGGTTTATCAGCCTTCTCGTCTTGTTCTTGATCACATGACCGCCCCACACAGCCCTCCTGAACAGGAGATGGTCTTGGAGCAACTGGGGGATAAACACCGGGAGCCGGAACTCCCTGTCCGGGGTATGGCTGAGCCGGCATGTACCCAGCGTACATCTGACCGGGTTGGCACGCGGGAGGGACACAGGGTGACGGCATTTGTCCCATATAAGGATACTGTTGTCCGTATGCCCCTTGTTGTGGGTACAGACCATAGGCTGGTGCTTGTGTTGGTTGTTCAATAACAGGAGGGTCGCAGATGATCTTACACTCTGTGTTACCCAGTTGTAAAGTAAAGCACTTGCTCTTACAGTTCTTGTTGTTGTTTGCTGTACTTGCAAAAAGCATGAAAAATAAAATAAATTATCTCATTATAGCAAGTTTGCCCCAAACGTAAAAATAGCTGATAAGACTAATAATATTGATATAAGTGGTAAGATACACAACATCTTACAGCTAGCAGCTGATATTAGTCCACAGCACCATCCATAAGCCCACTACACTCACTCATTTTAGTGACTGATTAAATATAGTAATTTGGGAACGAAACAAACACAGAGAAACTGATACTACTCTAAAGTGTGAATTCGAAAATGCAGTTCCATCCTGATTTGTATAAATTACTTCCAAACCAAAGGAAACTCAAAATAAATGGTTGCTAAGGTCAGAGAGGTAACAATAAACCAAACGAGTGCAACAATTATGGCTCAGACCGTGGGAGAGAAGTTTGGAAGGAGGTCAGTGATGAAAAAATTTTAAGATGAACCTAACCTCTTCCAGGCGTTCGGCTAGTTGGGGCGCAGCGCAGGAAACGGCGCGCTTCCTCTCGTCGCGTTTTTTTATTTTTCCCTGCGCCGTTTTTCGCGCTGCGCCACAACTAACTGAACGCCTGGTAAAGGCTAAGATGAACCATTCGTCTGAAACAGCCTGGCTTCTTTCAACTGAATTTCCAGAGATATAGAAATCTCATTCAATGGCTGCGACATATTTGTTTTACAAGAACTGTAAAGAAGCTTTATTTCTGACTATGTTTTGTTTTCTCGTGAAGCATTTTGTCCCTAGCGTTTATATTATCATATATGTGAGGTCGTAAACATTGCTTACCCGCGGGATCCTGTTGTTGTTGTTGTTGTTGTTGTTGTTGTGGATCCTGTTGTTGTTGCTGTTGTTGCTGCTGTTGTTGTTGTCGATCTGAAGAGAGACCTTCAAAGTAAACCTTTCTTTTCCTTAATTTAGGTGTGAGAATATTCATATGGCATTTGAGGACTGGTTCAGTTTCCTTTGATCGCAAGAGGTACTTAAAGGAGCTCAGTCACCGTATTTTAAGTTCTGATTTTGGCCACGCATAAAATTACCTTCAGATTGAAGAGACTTGAATATATAATTGTTCACTAAGAAAGAAAAACACCAAAGAGATAATAATAAACCATGAAGAAATACGGATGGTTTTGGATGGAAAAGATTAAAACGGACTATATAAACAACGAACTTGGAAAATTCACGCTAAACTTTTCAAGACATGCAAGCCGTGAGTAGCTCCATTAATTTCATACCCATCCAAATATTCCTCCTAATTTTTAATGTGAACCGAGTCGTGCCGTGGAACCTGGGACAAGTTGGTGGATTTTTTAAAACTGATTTCCTTCCAACTGATAACTGATCTCACCAAGTTCAAGCAATTTATGACAGCCGCATGTTACTTCCTTACTGACTGACCAGAATGTTTAACTGATGATCCTTGTAAATCTCTCACAAGTTTAGATTGTCTCTTAATTGAAATTTAGAGTTACATCACTTACAAACTGGAGCCTTTCTGCGTTTGCCAGGACTATTAACTGACCAGATTGGGTTGGTTTGTACTGATCACTTTCTATTGTAAGATGTTCCACTTACCACCGTAGAACATTTTAGTCAAAGACTGCTCTACATCAAGGATGTGCGAGAGAGACTTGGTAAACTTGTCCGGCTACAATCAAAACAGAATG